TTTGTGGAGTTATTATGAATATCAAATACATGCCTTGAAATATGGACTTGTGAAAGAACTCATCATTGAATCATTTGCATTTAAATTAATGCATATACCATTTACTTGGCATGTATGGACATATTATCCATCTACTTATACACACTTATTATGGACATATACAGAATTTCATTGTACCTTATTATTTAAAAAAATACCCTTGAAAATCCGGGTAAGAATAGGCATTCAACGACCCATGCTTGTACGAAGGCGACTTGGCTCGCTGACTTGGTTGATGCATGTCATCGTATCCCAAATGCGTAGATCGGTGCTCTTGATGATAATGACTAAATTGTTTGGTCCAGACTGGATTATTTACGAACCACCGTCATATAGCTGGTATATTGCTGAGTGCGGCGTTAACAACAAACAATCAAACAAAATCTATAAAATTATTAAACACCTTCCAACAATGAGAAATTAAACTTATATTTTCTAAATATTCTGTTATATTTATAACATAATTTGATTCATAATTTAATTATTGCGTTGCTTTCTTCCCTGTCATTCAATGTGCATGTTCAAACCCTAAACTTTTAATATTTCATTTTTCATAAATGGCTACGTTAGTGCGTTGCCTAGATCTCTCGTTACCTATTCACAAGAATAGATTAAAATAATTTGTTTTACTATCATATTTCTGTTTATCTAATATCACTATCTGATGCTAAGGTTTTATTTCAGAAAATATAATTAATTCAAAATGTAGAAAGATACACAATTTGCCATTATTTGACTTTTAAACTGTACAAAGTATGATATAATGATCAGAATGCCTGTAACGGGTAGTATTTAAGAAAGAAATATTTGTCGAGAAGTCCCATTTTTCAGATATGCCCTTCAGTAGTAGTATTGCATATCTCCAGAGAGAGGTTTACATTGTAGTTCTCATTATTTGTGGGTAATTCAAAAAGCAACATATAAAATATATATGCTACCATGACGAAAGAATACAGAGTATACATAACTCGCAATTCTATATATTCAGCAAACAGCCCAAAACAGAAACTCCACAACATATCCGATTACACTGATTAAGGCTGTCCAAGTTCTCCATGCGATACTGACGCCCGTTCGTCTCCCAGACCATACAGAATAAATTTAAAAGGAATCCAGCTCAAGTCTAGAACGATTTGGCAAGCCTAGATTGCCTTAATTCTATCCATGAAAGTAAGCATTAATAAAAAAATATTGTTCTTGTCTGCTTCAGATTATATTTTGTAGATACTTATTTTAACTAGGACAATTGTACTGACACCGGCGCTGTCCCTATTGAAGCTATCCATAAGAATTTCGAATTGCCGTCCATTGTTCGATGTCAATACATCGATGACAAGTGAGGATATCATAAAGTAATCGTTGATGCCGCGCTACACTTTGATAAAAATTATAATCAAGTTGACTGGTGTGTACATGACTACAGTGAACATGTACATGATCATGCCCTAATAATCAAATGCCGTAATGTCAAATACTAATTTATTATTGTGTGATGAATTTAACTGGATCAGTGGTAACATGTGATATTAATATTCCATCAATGTCTTTCCTGGTTGGTCCATCCATGTCTACAAAATGAAAATAATACAATTAAAATGGAGCATAGAACAATTCTTAATTTCAGGCTAGAGCTGTGGAAATCTAGACTTTCCCAATCATTATAGAATTGAGTTGGTCTCATGTTTTACATTATTCTCTTGGGTCAACGTCACAGCTCATACCATACACTAACAAGACCAGCTTGCCCCCCGCCGGAGCTCCCGGATTTTGGTTATATCATCTAACATGGCCAACTCTGCTCTTAAGTAAACAAGAACCTAATCAGCGAGGGGTCCTTTATCATCCCTATGTGGCTGCTTATAAAAATCTGATATCTTTTCCCAAAGACCTGGTTAATAATATATTTTCTGCTGAATATTTGAAACAAATAGAGTGAGTTGGTACTACATGTACATATGTATACGGTTCTATTTTAAATGACTGCAGCGCTCCATTATGAAAACAATTTGTTTTAACGCCGCTCTCAGCAGTATTCCAGTGATATATGACGGCGGTCTGTTGTATATGAAATATATGCAAATTGAATCTTGAATCTTGAAAGTTGTAACATTTCCGCAAATAAGTATCACATGCAGTATACAGTATATCAACTGCAATATACTGTATACATCAGTATACAGTGTGTCGCGAGCTCTGCGCTGGGCTGGAGCACACATTTCCTACACCTCTCCCTTCGGCAAACACATCACGAGGGTTGCAACGAGGTCACAGGTCAGGCGTGCACTCGTCAGTTGTCTAATACGGTCAAGAGTAAGATCTTCCGGAAGACCACTGCACTGGAGGTATGTGGATTATTGAGGAGGTACTACGTGTTTGGAACTGGGAGTTGAACACTAAGCACTTTTAGAGAAGAGCTCACAATAAAACGTTATGGACTCGCGGACGGACTTGTGTTTTCATTTCAAGACGTACATTTATCAGGTTGAACTTCCTAACTGTAACAATAACTGAACTTTACGCCTTTTATACACATTTGTGTTGGGGCGACAATGCGACAACGAGACATATTTTGACCTTGAAAATGTCGCGTTACGGCATCGTCGCCCTTTAGTAAAATAAAGAAAAGGATTATCAAAGAGCGACAGTGCGAACACGCGACAATGCGACAAATGGCCAATTGTCGCGCTTTTGTTAATTTTGACACGTTTTGCTTGTTTTTGTAAAGGCGTCAATGCGACAATGCGACAACGAGACAATGTCCCTTCCATAGTAATCCGTGCAAATAAAACTGAGTAATGAAATAAAAGTCTGACATGCCAGTTAAAAGATAGAGTGTTGCAGCTTCTGATTTCATAGATCTTCAAGAAGGGTTATCAATAATGGGATGGGTGATGAGTTCAACTGCATACGCTGTGATTAACAATAATGCTCCGAGTTAATACATTTTGTCAAATGTATGACATGTATTACGTGAATGAACATATTGTTTATACTCGTCCATGTTTTTGACGGACAAAATAATTTACATGCTCGGTAAAACTGAGGACGGGCATCATTGTGTGTTTCCGTGCTTTGTTCAGGTGAACAATTGACTTGTCCTTGCATGTGTTTGTGACGGGTGCCACTTGTGTGGCAGGATACGCTCACCTTTTCCCGAACACCAATTGGATGACCTGAATCACTTCGGATTTTTATCCCACATCAGTCTGATACACCATGATATAACTGAAATACCGTACAGTTGAAAATGATGTTTAATGCGATTACCGTAGTGTGTTACTGCAACTGTTCATATTTTGTGCAGTGATGTTATGTAATATGTAAAAGAAAGCATATTCAATTATCCAATTGATTTGAATAGAATATACTTGCGTCAGTGTATTTTATTAACGCCCCAAATCGTAATTTAAACACATAAAATAACAGATCACGCATGGTGCCTTGACTTACTACTAGATTTAATGGGCCACCCCGGAATTAAATAGTTCCCCCCCCAAAGCGAGGAACATATGTTTTAGTATGTTTACAAGAAATATATTCCAAACAATATCCTCATTAGATGAGAAGATCTTTTACAGAATTACCTCAGTAAGTCAATTACAATGACAGCGTCGTAATACATAATACATCAAGTACAATACGTCAAAATGGCCGACACGATAAACGTGACGGGAGATATTTTCGAAGTTGTTAATTAACCTGTGGCTATTTCAAGCCTTTGGCATCACTGATCAATTGGCCGATCATTGAAAGGTGATTGTGAAGATGTGTCAAATAGATACTAAGGTAAATTCATAGATTTCTGTAAATTGTCACTGCGACAGTTTGGATTTTTTTTCGTGTTTTTTTCTCTCTGGGATGGGTTGTACCGAGGGTATCCTTAAATGGGCTTGCAACCACGCTTCTGTATGAATTCGTACCAGGGAATTCCAAGGGTTTTCCCCAGGAATGTGGAAGTAGTCAGTGTTTACGCCTTTTCAAGAATACAGTCACGTGAAGAACGTCATGTGACCGACCTCGCGTCCAAGTCGTATATCTTGTAAACTTCACATGAAAAAATTAGTTATTGTTATAACCAAATGAAACACAACCCATTATCCGATAGGGGTAACTGTACATAGCCGTTACCACAATAAACTTAGTAACATTGTTTGGTTTGACTTCTTGGCGCGTGTCTGAATTCCATTAACATGTAACATATCCTAAAACTAGCTTATCAGCAAATCTCGCTGCACTGCGCGCGACAGATACTAGAGCAAGGCATGCCAGAAATACGAAACCTAAAGCTTCCGAAAGGAAGCCTTGGACATCACGTGCGTCGGGGGACCAGCGCCATCTGATTGGCCGCTAACAGTTGTACAAGGCGGAGCAAAAAGCATCGTTTTTCCGTCCATTTTACGCTTGAAAAACTCGACCCTTTTCTGCACACTTTCTAGACGCTGACCAATTAATCAATTTTAATGAATTTTTAGTCGTTTTTCCGTCCAATGACCATATACGGAAAAAAACGACGTTTTCGTGTTTGCAGTGAAATTCCCCTTACATATTAAATGTATTATAAATGAACACATGTATACAAAAGAAATATATGAGATTTCTCAATGCACTTAATGGTCAGGCACAATTAACCAATATCTTCAATACAAATATTTTAGTGCACTCACAACTAAAATATTTCAGATTCTACACAGGAGGTGTTTTACACTCCACTGACAGCTACAAGCACAGGAGAAAATGATTGTGGAACTACATGTATCACAGGTATGAAATAATTTTTAATAATAAAGATAATCAAATGTTACAATTTACACTGACATGGTGAATAAATTCATAAACTTGGTGCTATTTTATTCTAAAAATCCAAGTGTATGCTGTAAATACATGTGAACAAACTGAATACCGGTACCCCATGTGAGATGTTAGCAGTTACAATTGTCTTAAAAATACTATATACATTTCAGAAAAGAACCAAGCCAGTCTGGAGGATATAATGATGACTCCTGCTATCAGAACCAGTATGTATTAAACATAATGCAACTTTATTCAATAGTAAATTTGTATTAACATTAAAAAATCAAGTCACTTTATCATGAATTCTAGTTAATAACAATACAAATTTGTTTTCAAGGAAAACCTAAAGGGAAGCCTCTGATCAAGAAAACATCTAATGAAGGTATGGCATATATCTTTTCATAATGTAGTGGTTTCAGTATTACATCTCATGATCATAAATGTTTAATAAAATAATATTAATGAACATCCAAATATCATTGATATTACCAAAAATTGTCTTAATATTTTCAGAAGACATTCTGGGAGAGATAAAGTCCTTACAAGCCCAGGAGGAGAGAAAGATGTCACTCCTTGAGGAAATTCTGTCTGTGGAGCGGGACATCCGTGACATCCAAAGACAGAGCCTGGACCTGGAAAGAGAGAAATTTGAATATAAAAAAATCATTTGGAAACTCATTGTCTCCCATAATCAAATTTGATTAAAGGCAGTGACTCATGTTACTGTTTACTTGTGATCACAAAGATGTTTAGTTGTTTGTGTTATTATTTGGATATAGCATATGTACAAAAAAACTATACATTTTCATAAACTCCTAAAAACAATAATATGCAATATTCACAAGTGTGGCCATAAAGTGGTGCTGGATTATTGAAAAAGTGCTACCTTACAACTTTTAGTATGGGATTATTGACATTATGTGGCCTCTTAGTAAAAGTGTCACAATTGGATATGTATGCTACCTCATTTAAAACCTAGTGTTGATAAGATTTCCCCTGACTCTACATCCATCCATGTTTTGGTTATCAGCAGGATTGCTGTCCACCTCTGGTCCAGGAGTCTCACAAAGAACATCAGGCTCAGGCAACCTCAGTAATATTGGCAAATTATGAAGTTGAAAGCAGGCAGTAATAATTTTGATGCTCTTCTGTGGGCTGAATAACAGGCATCCTGTTGATTTGTGTAGACACCTAAGCAGATGTAACATATTTACATAGTTGTGTTTACAAATATAGTGATGAATATATCATGATATAACATTTATACTAAGTTTTCCTATAATAATTAGATCCACATCAAGTGCTTTCATGAGTTATCATTGTGTAATATTTATACATCATTTCATATATAATTATAGTTTAGCAAGTAATACTTATCATCAGGTAAACGCATATTTTATATTACCTGTTAGTATAAATGTTATATCATGATAAATACATGCCAACAGCACAGGTATTTTGAAATCAGAATGACATACAATCAGCAATACACATGCTCATTAGTCCAGTTACTTCAGCAAAACCTTGAATTAAAACATAAAGCTTCCATGAATTAAATATTTACCTGAATCTAGATTTGCACAATCCAAATGACCTCTCAACTGAGTTCCTTGTTCCAATATGACAGCGGTTGTATTTCTCCTCTTTTTCATTTGCAGGGTTGTTGACAGGTGTCAGGAGGTAGGGTCTACAGGCATACCTAATGTAGAATGTTTTGATAAATTTAATGTTCCCGATATATATGTATGTATACATTAAAAGACAAACATGACATAAATACCTACCCTGAATCACCAAGAAGCCAGATGTCATATTTCCCATCCCCCAGATGCCTTTTCAAATTGCAGTTGTTGAAAATATGTGAATCATGGGTTGATCCTGGCCATTGTACAATAATGTTTGTGAATCTGCAAAAATAAAAAAAAATACATACATAAATAATTAAATCCACAAGTCCACATTCGTTAAGAAAATAATATTTAAATAAGCCGAATAATTATGAAACATTTGGACATAAATAAGCCTACATGAGCTATTGACAAATCAATTATGACACAATGACGTTTATTATCTGAAAGTACCAGCAAGTCTAGATTGTTTGTTTACATTGCAAGGGTCAAGGACGTCAAGGATATTTACCGGAGTTGGGCGTCGCACACAGCTTGCACATTGATGGCGTGGAATCCTTTTCTGCACACATATACTGCTTCATCTAATGCTGGTCGTTGAATGGGTATCAAAGTACAATCTATGCAGCCAACAACTTTCGGAAAACCACAGATGTGGAAGAAATCCTCCGCTAGTTTAGCGTGTTTGTCGGGCGTTGGAAACCGGATCAAGACATACGACTTTACGATTGCATCTGTCGTCTTTTCCAACACGCGACAAACACTTGATTTGGCAATACCATGTATATCTCCTAATTCGCTTAGGAATCCCCCTTTTGAAAAGTATCTTTGTGAAACGGCACAAATATTTAAAAGGTGCTTTACGACGTGGTTTAGGAGGTCGTAGCGCTAAGAGGCTTTCGTGAAACGGCACCCTGGAGTTTACCACTTCGGTGAAACCCACGAGCACGGGTACGGTGCTTACAAACCTAGAAACATAATCGGGATGAACGGGATTCGAACCCACAACCATAGGTTTCTGGCGTGTCCAAGGGACGCAACTCTGCACAGCGAATCGCGGCGCGTTAGACGACTGGGCCACCCGTGCCCACGAGTGAGTGAGTGAGTGTGGTTTTACGCCGCTTTTAGCAATATTTCAGCAATATCACGTCGGCGGACAGCCGAAATGGGCTTCACACGTCTGGACGATGTAATGCGTCTTTACAATACATTTACATCCAATTCATTCAGTATTTCTAGTGCTGAAATTGACCTTTCGACTGTTAGTCGACAGTAAAGGCAATACTTGGAGTGAGTGCATATTTCTAGAGACTTGATTTTAAGAAAGGAATGGGAAACTACCAAATCTCCTGACCCCCATTAACTAAACAGAAGCAGTGTCGTCAACGATCGGTGTCAAATTGTGAAATCCACGTCAAAGTAAGTTTAGTCACGTTGAACCTCACATACCTTATTCAAACATTGATGCAAAATAGCATTTTCTTTCATTTATTCATTATATTCCATTTTTACATTACTCTGTTCTTCTTTTGCAATCATAATCTGATCAATTAATTATCTCGGCAAAGAATCTGAACACAAAGGATGCTTTTAAATTTTGCAAAGTGACAATGAAATTCCGACGACCACAGTGACCACTTGTGTGCAGCAGTGTCACTATAGTACTCGATCCTGCTATCTCATGTTTGATGATTGGAACTATTTAAGACAACATTATATTTTAACCAGATTCATTTTCAGATGTGTCCTTCTAAGGCAAAGAGAACACTAAACATACATCATGAATCTTATATTTCTTATTCTATCTGTTGTTTATTTTGTTTTTGAAATGTGAAGGTGAAGGACTTACAAAAAGGCAAACTGAGTCGTCCAAAAATATTGAAGTGTTTCCAACATGTAGGTTGTGAGAATAATGCAGTACACAAATTGTCCAAAAGGCAACATTCACGACAATAAATAAAATGACACCAGGTGCACCCAGAAACGAATTTTTATTAAGATTGAAATTTGTATTCTGTCAAAGATCGTAATTTGTTAAAGGTAAAACATAATGCAACATAAATCACATTATGAAGACTTTCGCCATCTTACGGATGTTCAAAAGTTTTTTTGGACATAAAATGATCCTTTGATCATCTGAAAGTGATCGTCTCTGTCCAAACATACACACAAAAGTAGTTTAGCAATACTCCAGAAAGTGTTTGCTCAAGAAAAGGGATGAGATTATCTGGAAGAGGAACGTATTACCAAAGAATATACTTATGATATGATATACTATTGTTACTTTAAAACTATGTTGCGTTCCCGACATACTTCTTCGTTTGTTGTTGTTTTTTTTCAATTCTTTTAGACGTATTATACAGGAACTTTGCACTTCGCACTTGTGATACCTCATTTGCCATTTAATCACATCGTGCACTGCTGTAATTTCAAAGTCAAGTGACTATGCACAAGTCAAGTTTCGTCTGGACGAGTGAGTGAGTGAGTTGGGTTTAACGCCGCTTTAAACAGTATTTCAGTTACATCACGGCGTGTCAGCTTAATGTTGGAGGAAAGCCCGAAGTGATGCAGGTCCCATCGATTTTTTTTCTTTTCTATCTGTTGTCTATTTTGTTTTTGAAATGTGAAGGACTTACGAAAAAGCAAACGATGTCGTCAAAAATATCGAAGTGTTTCCAACATAGCAGTTGTAACATACAGTGAGAATAATCCAGTAAACAAATTGTCCAAAAAGGCAACACTGATGACAAGAAATACATGAAACTAGGTGTACACAGAAGAGAGTTTATATAAGGGTTGTTCAATGAATTAATACAAAGAAGGCAGATCACATTCTTCAATGATGGTAACGTTTGAATCTTTACCAAGTGCAATGTTCTATGATCATGAAATGTGTTAGAACGAGTCTTTTTGATTACTCATAATGCTAGAATACATGAACATGTCCATCACTTTGATCAGAAATCTCTCCGAAAGAGACAGGAAGTCATGCGATCTACTCAGGAAATGGTCACAAGTCGTCATCTAAAGCTGCTGATGTAGAGAATTAGGCTGGAGACCAAGTCGGTGAATAGCCCACGCGATCTGGTCATTAGGGCGATTTGTAAAGTGTAACTTACCATTTACATTTGACCACATGCTCTTGTTCCAAATTTGGAAAAAGAGTGGAATCTCGATTTCATTTCCAAGACCACTTGTTAATGTGGCTTTGAACTTCATTGGATTGCATAGGTTTGATTTGGGATGTTACTTTGGTGATAGTTAGTTTACTGATCAATTCCAGTAAGCTATTCACTAACCCCAGTCCAATGGCCTATAGAATGGTGGCCTCACTTTGGATGCTAGCGATCCATAGCCCATTTTTATATTGTGTTGTTGAATAATAATGTCCACTTTGAATTGTTCTCAAATAGTTTTAAAAACGAAAAGGTGATACTCTATTTATTATACCTTTTATCACTCACGATGTGCCGATGTGACGTTAAAATTTAATCCCTCACTCATTCACTCACCCCAGTTCTATCTGTACACATGTTGAGATGTTTCCTTTTGAAAATGGTTATTTCCATGAAAGGGTTACCCATTGCATCTACTCATTCATCAGACGCTCGACAACCTGTTCCTGTATTGGTTGCAAAAGTATAATTTCAAGAGAGACCCTTGTACACACGTTCTTACAATAGATACCCACCCTTGTATCAAAATGTCATACGGTAAGAATAAAGAAGTTGAAGTCTATTGACGTCAGCTCGTCTTGTTAGTGAGTGAATAGTCATGGACGTGGGCTGGAACCTGTACACAGGCAGTACAGAACCACACACGGTGCTTCACAATAGGCCTGATTGGCCCGCATAAACTCGTAGCCTAGAAATCCACAGCAAAAACATACCATGCATATTGTCTCGTGTAACAGCCCAATGGACTGGGTCAGATCGATTACGTGGTTGACATGCACGTTCGGACATCTTATCCTTCTCACTTCATCGTCTTCATATAATTGTCATGTGTTCCGCAGTGACCAGACACACCCTGACCTTGCCCACTGACTCGAAAACGTCATAAGAATGTTTAGTTATTAACGGGATTGCATTAACGACTTTCAAATAATAATTCTATATTCTTTCCAGGAACGACAAACCATACATGTCCATTTCAATTTCAAACAGATGGCGTGCATTCTAGTACCCCAATGATCTACTATAATCGTTATTTAACACGCATACCGCTGAACATGAAGATTGATTCACGCGTAATAATGGAATGCTCATGTGTCTCAGGGCAATTGGAACAGTTCCACAATATGTCTGAGCAATAATGCATTACATATTCACATTTGTAATTGGAAAATCGATAGTCAGTGTATATATTATGCCTTACGACCACGGACTTAGTAGTGACACGGAAACCTGGCTGTTTGGAGGCATACCATCGCGTTTCATGTCGTCATATTTGGCAACTAATTCTGAGTGTCCACCATTACATTTCTGCAATGACTTAACCAGGGCTTTGATGGTGAGATCTCCATTGAAAAGTTTATCTGTCAGCCTAACCATTTCTTCCATGCAATTTAAAAAAAAATGTACATGATCTTAAGTACCAAGGCAACTGAGAAATGTAGACGCCATTAGCGGGAGCTGATCGTAAATTGCTCAACATGAAGAGGAAATTCGCGATTTGAAAGAAAGAAAGTTCGTGTAGGTTATATCGTTAAGATTACACAGTAGGGTTCGATCAAAACGCTCATTTAATCTGCAGCCTTCCTTCGAGAAAATATCACTGCGTGTAATTGATCCCATTATACCTTTGGCATCTGTTCTGCCATCCAGTCGCTGTCAGGATATCTATGTCAATGGTTTTATGACTCCACGGGGAGCAGTTAGACACAAAACACGCAACACCCTAGGCCTATACTCCACGCGCTGTATGTTGGCCCTCACTGCAAGAAGAAATGTTTGCTCTTTCAGCAGAATGGCCCTTTCCATAATTGTGTGGCTACAAAAGGCTCATCGTAGTGTCGTATCGAAAGCATTCTGCAGAATGGGAACATGTGTCGTGATTTAGGCAGTTGTACTTGTGCTACATGATAGTAAATCCACAATCAGGCATTCATGAAATCTGTTGTATCAGTTCATTTCACAACCCGGGATAATAATCACCACCACACGATCTCCATTTGTAATTTAACTATAAAGCCTTTGCCAATCATTTTATGAAAGGAAATGTTTCGTGACCTAAATCCTCACTTAGTTATTGATTGGATCGTGTACACGCTCTCCGAGGAAAATGAGCAGAGAGGAATAGGAAATTGTGTTGACGGACTTGACGTGTTAACCGTCCCACGAGTCGGTGTCAGTTTTCGTCTTTGAGAAAGAAACTTAACTAAATATCAAAATTTCTTCCATGATCCTTGTCAACTTTTATACCAACTCCGTGACTGACTTTCGGACCTGTAAAATCACAGCATGGAGCATAGCATGAAGGCTTTGGTACGTTATTCAAGAATATAGTTTACAGTTAAAGTTGAGTGTAATTCAGAAACATATATACTAAGGTAAACGACACTATCTATTGGCAACCAAGTGTCCACGTTAGGATTAGATTATAAATATCGGTGACAAATTCAGACATTTTACTTAAAAATGTAAAACTTCTTCGTTCAGTGGATGGAGCATCTGCCCAGAGTGCGGAAGGTCGGAGGTTCGATCCCCTGGTTGTGTAATTCAAGACGCATGTTGTTTCCCTGCCTTACGTTCGGCATTAAAGAGATAGAGCATGGACTGTTCGGGTCGGAGTCAGTATACTGAATCTGAATGAGGTTTCCATGCA